TGAACTCAAAATTTACTCCATCAGAACCTGAAATTTTGAAATTATCGCACTCCCACACAATCTTCTTCACCTCCTCATCTAAAAATAGGATAGTTAGATGAGCCACTTTGGGTTTAGAGTCTTGAACCAAAATTCCTCCAACTCGGATATGGATAACTCATATTTCTCCCTTTTTATCAAGTTACAAAATAACTTTTTGGCATCACTGAATCAACTTTCCTTTCATACTTTAGATTATACAATATGTTACAAACGTTTGAGAAAAGTCTTTAATGAACTCAAAATTTACTCCATCAGAACCTGAAATTTTGAAATTATCGTACTCCCACACAATCTTCTTCACCTCCTCATCTAAAAATAGGATAGTTAGATGAGCCACTTTGGGTTTAGAGTCTTGAACCAAAATTCCTCCAACTCGGATATGGATAACTCATATTTCTCCCTTTTTATCAAGTTACAAAATAACTTTTTGGCATCACTGAATCAACTTTCCTTTCATGTTTTAGATTATACAATATGTTACAAATTTCGAAAATATATATATTATACACCAAAAATATTAACGAATCTCTTTATTAAAAAAAAACTTTTAGGATTCTGACTCCAATCCTTTGGTCTTCCTTTAAACATCTTCGACTTCTCTTTTAGATGTCAATTCACAGTTTTAAGATGTGAAAAGGAATTTTTTTATGTCCAAAAATAATTAATATTTGTATATAAGAGATAAGAAGAAGAAGAAGATGACATCTCTTCTATTATTGCATAAAAATGAGAGCATTAAAAGAAAAAAAGAGATTATATAAACACATTAAAAAAACAAAAATGGAAAATATGCGAGTCATACAAAAAGAAATTCAAGAAATCCAGATTCTTCAAGCGATGAATTTGAGAAGGAAGATACCTCAAAATAAAGGGAATCATTGATAACACACAAAATGAACCTTAATTTTACTTTATTTGCACATGTTTTTAGGGTCAATTTTATAAATTTTGTAGTGTTATACTGGTATTTTGTGTTATAGTTCAGGAAATGATAAAATAATGGTAAAGGCAAGTGAAAACGATGAAAACAATGAAAACGATGCAAAATAGCGCTAGAGAGAACTCAAATTTTGGCATCCAAGTTTGAAATAGTCATAGAATTAGTGAATTAAAAGTACAAAGATTAAGCATTAGAGTGTTTATGTAATTTTGTTTTATTAATTTATGCACTTTGGAGTTGGTTGGTTGTTGCTGCTACATTAAGTTAATCCTGACGACATATTTCCAGCATTTATTTATAGCATTTGTATCAGATTAAAGTCTTCTTTCAGATCACTGTTTATTATATTTAAGTTTCCTACTTTAAGCAATTTACAGGTTCCATTTATCCACTTTACTTATTTACTATTTTTAACATGTACCTGAAAAGAAATTGCTTATTTACTATTTTTATCATGTCAGAATTTAGTCAGGTCCCAAATGTGAGGACCGTCAAACCGACGGTACTCTAATAAATCACATGTTAAATAATTTTAACGAGAATTATTTGAGTCTGAAATTTTTACTTTTAACGATAACCATTTAATGTGAAAGTAGTTTCAGCTTAAAAGAGTGAAAGTCGCGTCTGACTGTAGAAAATTTAGAAATTTATTTTAAAATACAGAGAAAACGTTTTTCTAATTAATTTAGAAAACCATATTTTCAAAAAGGGTATTTTAAATTTAAAACCAGACGTTTGTGAGTTTAAAATCTGGTGTCAGTCACGCGAAAGCAGACGATGCCTTTAAATTAGTTTTCTACATAAATAAATTTTCATGTAAAAAGTAATTATTTTCCATACTAGATATTAAAGTTGTAACATCTACACGTGAAAACGGGCAATTAGATTACAAAGTCGAAATCCAGTATCATACACGCGAAAGCGGGAGATACCTTTAACTTAATCCTTATTCCCAAGAAAATATTTTCTCGTTATAATTGTAAAACACGATTTTATGAGTACCAACTGTCAAGAGAACTACATTTCAGTCTCTTGTTATTAAAGTTACTTTTAAATCACTTATTTTCCTATTACGCAAACAAATCAAATTGCACCGCCTAAGATAAACAATGTGATAACAGATAATGGTACTTGTTAATCGGTCTTTGTGTGATTCAAAATCTTTTATACTAAAACCGACAAAGTCATACACTCGCAGGCCTATCAATCACGTTAGGCCGCATTTTTAATCAAATACAAAAATAGGAATCACGTTATATATCGAGTAAGGAAAATATCCCCAAGATTGAAATGAGTTTTGCTTTCTACTCATCCAAGGCAGAGAAATCAAAATGGAAAGACAACTCCAAATTGAAATGTGATCACTATGGAAAATTTGAGCATATCAAAGCAAAGTGCTCTGAGATTGTTGGTTATCCGGCTAACTGGGAATCTAAAAGAACTCAACGCAGAGAGCAAAACAAAATAGAATGTAATGGTGCAAATTTTGAACAAGCAGGTGAGAAGAAAAATTACACATAGGGGTCAATTTCAGGTCGCAGTATGTATGAAATTTGTGTCAAGAATCAAGCCAGTCCACATGATAAAATGACTAGTAAATTACTAAACACCATCACTTGGATACTTGATAGTGGTGTTTCACACCACATGAATCATTTACAGTATGTATGAAATTTGTGTCTAGAGCTATGCATTTTCAAGCAGATCTTCCATTATCGTTTTGGAAGATTGTGTGCTAATTGTGGAATATTTAATCAATAGAATACCCACAATAGCTAAAAGGGGATCACCCCATATGAGTTACTTTTCAAAAGAGCACCAAACTATCAACACTTGAAGAGCTTTAGTTGTTTATGATACATCAAAAATGTGTCTAAACCAATAGACAAATTTGATTCATGAGTTGAAAGACGCATCTTCATAGGTTATCCACTAGGACAAAAGGGATGAAGAGTCTATCATCTTCAAAACCATTTCTTTTAAACATCTAGAGACGTAGTATTCTATGAATACATTTATCCCTATAATCAAGAAAGGGACACTACTAATGTGAGTATTATTGATGCAACACAATAACATTTTTATGTTCAAGATTTAAGTTCCACTAATGATGAGGAATCAACTCGAACTGGTGGTGCACAAACAAATACAATTATAGGCAATCTTGACCATAATGAAGCAACTATAAGATACTGCAGAACTTGTTGAAGATGATTCAAGAAAGAACAATCATGTCAATTCAGATTTAGAAGACATAAATATAATAAATAATGACATTGATACCATCAATACCTATCAGGAGAATAATGCAAGTGAAGTGGAGAATCACAGTGACATTGTCCAAGTTACCAGTGAAGGAGAGCATCCAAAATATATTGATAATATGAACGACGAAGTCACAAACAGTGAGGGAGCTGAGATAACACCAAGGGAAAGACACCATTTAGCATCTCTTAAAGATTACCATTGTTATAATACTAACTAGTTGTTAAGATATCACAAGACTTCACCAGGTCAAGGTATAATTTTACCAAAAGATAATAACTCCAAACTAGTTGTTTTTTGTGACTCACATTAGACATCATGTCCAGTAACACAAAGATACATATTTGTCTACTTAATGAAACTTGGTAATGCTTCAATTTCATGGAAAACAAAGAAGCAAGAAATCATATCTCGGTCCTCTAGTGAAGTAGAATATTGCGCAACGACACATGCGACTAGTGAAGTAATTTGGTTCAAAAGTTTGCTATAAAGTCTTTCAAATTCCTTGTACAAAATCCACCACGTTATATTGTGACAATCAAGCAACAATTCACTTAGCTTTCAATCCAATTTTCTATGAAAAACCAAACACGTCGAAGTTGATTGTTATTTTAAGAGAGATCATATAGAATCAAGAACTATCACTACAATTCATTTACCAACTCATCAACAACAAGTATATCATATACAATTAAGAACTATCACTGCAATTCATTTACCAACTCATCAACAACAAATTTACATTTTCACAAAATCTTTAAGGACTAAAGCCTTTCATGATCTCATGTCCAAATTAAGTCATCCTCCAACTTAAGGGGAAGTATTAGAAAATAATGTTTCATATGACACTTAACTTAGTTATTTCCTTATAAATATCTTAACTTAAGTAAATTTGTTATAATAGTTAGTTGCTATTTTTAAGCTTTTACTAGCCTCTATATAAAGGCATGTATCAATAACCTTTGAATAATGAAAACAATGTAATATTGTTCAGACTTGTATTTTTCTAAAACTCAATAAAAAATACCATTAATTTAAAACCTCATTTTATTAGCTAATAAAACTAGTAGAAAGAAAAAAAAAAGTCATCTTTTTTAAGAAAACCATCAAAGTTATATAAATCTTTTTAATTATAAACAATCTTATTGGATACTATGAAATATCTATACTCATCATAAAAATTTAGAATTTTTCAATCAAATATCACTAATCTTATTTAAATTAAATATAAATATTGATCATTCATCAATTTTTTATCATAAAAATATCTTTTAAAATCCTAATTTAAAACACCCTATAAACTTGGGTCAGTCAAAATTTTCAGTAGAGACTCCCAACATTGATGAATATTTCCCATCGTTAACCCAACATACAAATAAGTATATTCAATTCCAAATATTAAAGAAAAAAAACAGATAACCTGCCATGAAAATTAAAAACATAAAAAATTTAAACTATCAAGATATTGAAATCGAAACTCAAAATACAAAAATTCAATCTCGTTCCAGCAAACAAATTTGCAGAAGAAGAAAAAAAAGATGTACAAGTATAAAGCAGTCCTATTAAGAATTAAGAATACAAGAACAATTCAATTTCCCTTAACAAATAAAATGTATTTTTACAAACGAATGTAAACTAATAAATAAGTGAGACAAATGAAGAAGCTATATTAATATATACTCTGTAGCAAGGTTTTAAAATCCTCATAAATTTTTTTTTTAAAAATCGACCAAACCAAAATGAAGGTATTAAGTTATTTAAAATTTTGGCCTGCAGAACGTTTTGTAGGGGTACCCGCAGCAAAGGAAAGTAACCCTCCATCATACCCCTCATGTTCATCCACATACAAATCTTCCGTACTCCTAAACGCAGCGTGCAACACAACAACTAAAACCCCAACCACAACCGAAACCAACGTGTTCACCCAAACACCGCTAAACCCTAAAGCCACCACAGTCACCACCGCAAGCACCGCCGCCGACACCCGATCCTCAATCGAACGCCCAAACACAACAATCGGTTCTTCACGGAAGAAGTACAGAAAAAACCAAGCCACGAGCGAGACCAAGAAAACGATGATCGAAATCGGATGCCATAGGAGACTGAGGAACAAGACGAAGAGGATGATCATGATGTAGTTAACGCGGAAGTGGTTGAGGTTACGCTTCACGCGCGAAGTGGCTTCGTTGATTGAGTAAGGGCGCGTGAATGAGTAGAGTGCGAAAACTTCCTCCCATGGTCTGCGCGTGACGGATACGGTTTTTGTTGTTGCGGTGGCGCGTGAGATGAAGTGTGGAGGTTTGGAGTTCGAGGATGAAGGGAGGGAACTGTAATGAGGTTCTGAAAAAGAAGAAGACATAACATCACAATAGAGTTGAAATTGAAGATTCAATTAACAAGCCCTAATTTTCTATGACACTGATTGTGAAGAAGAAGGAACGATGTCGTTTTATATGTTTATGTTTAATAAAAGAAAGGATCAAGGAAGAGTCTTGCTGTCGTTTACTCCAACAACAGCAATGCCAGCGAATCCATAAAATCCACCTGGAGGGCACTGAAGTGTTTATGGGTCCCATGTTATGCAAAACGACAAATAACTGACTAACTTCCAGCGAAACTAAGCACGATCTTCTGCATAATTAATTGCCTTTATAGTTTTTTTATTAATTCAATCTTTTTAATTTGACAAGTATTAATTCGTCTGTTGATGTCATTTGATAAAATGGGGCGAGGATTCCCTGCAGTGTAAATTTTCTGCACTGGAATCCCAGCCACACACTTTATTGCATCACATAGTTTTCAATGTTTTTTTAAGATGAATGAAAGGTCAAGATGCATACTGTTCATTCTCAAGTGAAAATTTCATTGGAGAGAATCCCCTCCAGATAAAATGAATGAAGAGTTTTTGTAATTTTGGATTTGGACTAATAATGTTAGACTAGTCTCTTGATTTATTCAGTCTCTTGCGACTTTTGTAATAGTTATCAATTGTAAGTATATTAAGGGTTTCATACTTTTTCTTACCCCCTCCAATTGAATGGCTTATTTGTATATTTTTATTTTATTCTCATGAGTTACTTCGAAGTATGACTTTAGCTATTGTCCTAGATGACATGGGCCTTCGATTGAGGATGTAAATATTGCCTAAAGAGTGGAAAGGATTCATGCGTGAGAACCCAGCGCATGTGATTGTTTTGAGGGATGGAAATGATTCATGGGTCCATCATTTGTTATTGTCTCTAGGAGAGGTAAGAAATCCTCAGTGAGAGTCCATCATGAGTAACCTTCTTGAAGGGTGAAAAAGATTCCTCCTTGAGGATCCAACATATATGAATACCTTATTGGGTGATTTCGATAAAATCTCTTTTTATTCTTATCTCCCTACAAATAAATCAACAATAATCCAAATACATATAATAAAGTGAGGACCTAATTAAAAATACTTATGTCATGTTGGCAACACTTGGGAAAATAGCCCTCCCATCAAACAAAAGAAAGTAACCAAATTATCCTTACAAACGACAGAGATTGTAACTTGCCTAAATAAGACAAAAAGTATATGAAACTAAACTAAATGAGGCTTAACGCCTTAACAATTATCATCTTTTAACACGAGATCTTTTCATGTGGCCTTCATATCTACCTGGCTTGGAGTGGCCATGCCATCATCTATGAGAACTTCCTTTAGTGGCTTGGCCTCCAACTGCATGCCAATGATGTTCACGCCCATGATCATGGCCTTCTTCAACTTCAGGCTCTCTACGTAGCATTTCCAGTCAATCTCTTGATCTCTCTATATAACTATGACTCTCTCATCTAGGAGTGGGTACTTCATGCACAAGTATAATATGGATATGGAGGCTCTCGACTAGTTAAAATCGTGTCACCATGTAATCATGTTATATGATGAGGCACATCAATGACAATATACCTTACCTTAACCCCCTTGGTGTTTTCTTCCGCTCTGAATGTGGTCTTCAACGTTATATAACCTTTCATATGCATTGGTTCGCCCGAAAATGCCACCAACAACCCTTGGAAGGGCTTGAGGTCATCTAAGTCTAAGAAGAGTCTCTCAAATGCATCCTAGTAAATGATGTCTTCAGATCTTCCTTTTATCAATCAAGACTTTCATTATCTCCTAATCGCCACATCTTATAGTGATAATCGTGGGATCCTCGTTATGCAGGTGGATGTGTGTGGTGTCTTTCAGGACAAGCAATCTCAGTTTATGGTGCTTCTAACTTACCCATATCAGAGCTGGTGTATGAGCCTTCTATAGTTAATATTTTGCAAACATATCTTTTGTGGGCAGAACTAGTCTCTCTACCACCGGGAAATCCTCTTTTGGTGGTATTAAGAGTGTGGCAGACAACTTTGTTGTTGCCTCCCTTGCTTGATTCCTTTCTCTTCTTGGATCTAGGACTTTCTGGGGCATCTTTCCTCTAGGAGTTAGACTCACCTAGCCCTCGAGGGGAGTCATGCTTAACATACTTCTTTATGTGCCCCACTTGGACAGATGCTCTATCTCCTTCTTTAGTTGATAGCAGTCCTCATGTTCGGTAACTTCATCATATCTTGAGAGTCGTAACTCGAATTGAGTTGGGACCAATGAAAAATAAAAGCTAACAAAAAGATCTAGATATTCCCAAGATAAAAAACTAAAACAACAAAGGCATGTAATCGATTACCACTGGAAGCACAAATACAAAAATAACACACATTTAATTCACACATAGTACACACTATATTTTATATAAAATCTATTGACATATGAAACATCATAAATAGAAACAACACAACATATTATAGCAAAAAATAAATATTTAAAAAACACAAAAAGAAAAAAATGTAAGATGTGGAATGATGGTTACCAACAAGAAACCTTTGGAGATGGAGGATCTTGGTTCTATTTGCAAGACTAATCAGTGGCTTCTTCATCCAACTCTCAAAATAAATAAACTCTCTTTCTCTCTCAAATTTTCAAACACTTAGTCTAAAAAGCTCTATCTTTTTCTCACAAAATGACCTCTATTTATGATGAAATTATATGGTTTTAGGTGGGGATGAATACAAAACTTGCTAGGATTTTAAGATAGCGGTGGGAGATGAAAAATGTGGGTATAAGGTATGAAGACAAAACTTAATAAGGTTTTGTTTAATTATGTAGTGTTGGATATACGAGCATTTCCCGTCCGTTTGTGGTTGATGTACTCAGATTTTTATCAGTGATTGCTCCCCACGAAGCACAAGATATAGGTCTAGGCATTTTCATCCAGACATTCTTCTAGAGTACAAGAGGATGACCAATGCTTTGACCGTAGACGATGTCATGTGGACACCATATGCATATCATAGAGTTTATCAATAGTTCGATGACACTTCCCTTTTTTGGATTATTTATGGGAGAGTTTTGTGGATAGATATTTACCTTAGAGGTGTTTGCACCACTTTGGGTATGTTTAAGGCATTCTTATAGCAATCTCTGTTGTTCCATCTAGGGACACTGATAGATTATTTAGGTCTAACTTTATCAGCATTGACATTGTTTTTAGAGAGAATGATGTGGAGGTGTTTTCCCATGTGCGATGTTTGGATGATTATTTAGAGTGGTGGTTTAGAGTATCTCACTCTCACATCATCCCACTTGTTCAGCCTGTGGATGATGTTAGTCCTTTCCATGATGTAGGATCTTCACATGACGTGTCATTACCTCCACTATATCCACTTGGTATGACTGACCAATAGCAGGTATGGATGGTAGCAATTCTTTCAAATAACCTCATGGGTATGGTAAACCCAGATGGTGAGATTATGGAGGGTTGTCTTATATAGCACACATTGCTCGTGGTGGATCAACATAGGTTTTATTAGTTTGTTCATTATTTATTGTGGCTGACATTATTCTAGGTTTGTAGTGAATTATTTATATTGACATTTTATCATAACATTGCATTAGATGAAAACTAGCATTACACTATTGTCGGACGAACATAACTTAACATGAACATTTCTTAACATAACTTAACAAAAAAGTAACATGAACAAAACTTAAACATTACTAGATGATTTAGGACGTTTCAACATCTTGATAATATCGTCGAGAAATCTTGTAATGTTTCATCCATCTCGATCGGGCTCTTTGTTTCGTATTAGTGATATGTATTTCATATAACTCTTAAACTTCAGTCGTCTTCAACTCAAAGTTGATGAAATTCACCTTTCCTTCGTTATTTATTAATGGTGAGTGGTACTCGATCTTAATCACGCTGATGTTATTTGGGCAAAGGAATATATTATCTAGTTTGGATTTCAAACCATTAAGATGGGTGCCCTCTATGATCCTAAAATCAATACGAGGTTTCACGACTTTGAAGTACACAAATGTAAGACATCAAAATTGAGACACTGTGAGGTGTTTTTGTTAACAATGTATGCTGCATTTTTACAAGTTTTAAATTATTATAAACCATACAATATTGTTAGTGCAATCACAAGCCTGCAAAAGTGTTGACACAATCACAACTCCTTAAAAATAACACTATTAAATTTTTAAGTGGTGTTGGGAAATATCGGTATACCAATTTTTTTTGAAAAATCCTATAAGGTCTTTTGATACGCGCCATATATTTCAAAGATACTATAAAAACCTATAACATGTTTTTCATATAAACTACCCAGTTTTCGAGGATTAACTTACCACCCCCTAAGTTGTACCTGACACCCCCCTCAAACTCAATGAAAATACGATAATATCCTTACAAATTTTTCCACCATTATCAAAATTCACTCAAATCTTGTATAAATTTCAAAATTTCTCTAGTGCTACCGGAAATTCTTGAAAAAGTGAGTTATTTAGTGGAAATTATGAAATTGTCGGAAGTTTTTCCCAGAAATTTTGGAAATGTCAGAAGTTTTTACTGGAAATTATGCAATTTCCGGAATTTTTTACTAGAAATTTTGAAAATTCCACATTTTTTTAATTCATTTATTCCGAAAATTTCATAATTATCGGTATTTCAAAAAATTTGAAATTTTCCTAAAATTTCAGAATTTCCGTTATGTGGTACGGTGGGAGAACTGACTTGAGGTTTTGCGTTCGTATTCGCACTTGTGCGGTTAGCAAGAGTCGCCACCGACTTTTTTATTTTATCCTAAAGGAAAGGTTAAAAAGCACAGCAAAAACCTTTTGAGATATTTCGTGGGTTCGGGGGGTAGATTATGAAAAGGGAAGGTATTAGCACCCTTTTCATCCATGGTTATCCATGGGCTCTTAGTTACTTGGTTTTTTAGATCACTTGCCTTTGTTTTTCGATTGCTTTGAAAATGGTGTGTGTGTGGGTGCTTTTTGAAAATGTT